ATTTACTCGTTTTATTGTGTTTTTGAAGTAACTACGTGTATGTGGGTGTTTGTATGTGTAACTGAAGGCTGCCCCATTAGGTCTTCTCAAGAGAACACTTGTTAGTAAGGAGGAAAGCGCGAACTGTGTTTACTGACTCGATCAGAACTTCTGTCAGATAATCATTCAAATTGTGATAAAAGTAAGGGAAACAGATGATTCTTGTGTGCATACAAGAAAAGAGCGGGTCGTTTTTCAGGAAAGTGACGGTAGGAAATTTTAATAATTTGTTTTGTTTTTTAGTGCGATTCTCTCAGGACAGCTAGGAGATAGACTGAGCTCTAACACCATTGACAGCAGAGAAATACTGGGCTTAAGTTTATCAAATAGTAACCAGTGGCAACGTGAGAGATTTTTACTGGGATGCAACATGGCGGATGACTTTTTGGAGTTTCAACCTGGGAATATTTCAATGTTTTTCAATTCTCACCTCGTCTAATCGTCAATTGCATACCTTTCATGACGCCATAAGTATCATAAAGGGTTATTTTTCGAAGATGAGCGTCTCAACGGCAGTAAAACCGAGTGAATCACCGCACGTATCTCCCGGGGAAAATTCGTCGCGGTCTTCCCGTGCGAAAAACAAACTTGCAAAGACTCCTAGTTCGCCATGTGTCTTGCCAATTCTTGAAGGTGGAAAACCACAGACGGATGAAATAAGACGTGAACTAATGGATTCCAGCGGAAGAAGTGACATTTTGGACCGAGATAAGACTTTTTTAACTGGAATGAATGACTTTATACCTGAGGATATTTTGAACAGTTTGACGCAGCATCCTGTTCCACCTTCGCGTGAACAGTTAGGGCCTTCATCAAAACACAAAAAACTGAAACCTTTAGAGGTAGGGATCTTTGAATAACAGGAATAGGGGGGTTTTATATATCATTGTAAAAAATGCGACTCGATCAAATACGTTTTCTCTACATGTTACTTGTTTTAGTTCAATTTTATTCTTGCATTAGTTCTAATTATTTTTGTCAAATAGTTAGTAATGTACATGTTGTATGGAAAGCCAACCAAATTTGAACTGATTACTGATCAAATTGGACCAGAACGTATTTGTTTACTTAATTACATATACCATACACCGGTAAGCACGGATAATGTCATTTCCGATAGATTTAAAACATAGACATCATCATCTTATTTTTGTGTAATTATATTTACATTGAAATAAACTGCTGGAGCGAGGGCATCTCTTAATTTTTTGCAGGATGTGTACAATTTTTGAACCTTTGATTACTGTTGATATTAGCATAATCACTTCCTTCTGTCAACTTTTTAGATTACTCCACCTGCTCGTAGAAGACCAGCTAATGTTTGGAATTTTCCCAGAGGAAGAGAAAAGCTCAAACATCTTGCAGAACAGCCACCTTGTGTTTGTGGAGCAGGGAGGTAAACAAAGATTTACGACATGTATTACAGCTGACATGGAAGACTAGCCTCCATTTGGTGCTCAATAGATAAACAAAGCCACCATTTAGTAAGACAATATGCATGGATATTTGTTGGCAGACACAATTTCTTCTGAGTTGCAAACATGTTTCTGAGAGCAATGCATGAGGAAAACTGTGAGAAATTGAGGAACCAATAAAGTCCAAGGACAAATAAAGTACTGGTTAAAATATCTGTGCACCGAATGGGAATTGCTATGCATGTTATCCTTCAAATATCACCTGATGTTCTCCAGTTTTACCAATCACATGCAAGCAAAAATATTTGATGGATTTTGATTATGGTTATCCTTTGTTGATGAATTAAGATGATAATTTACCTGAGATGTGGGAAAAACAGATTAAATTAGTTAAACATCATTCAGACCTGAAGTTCATTTGAATCATAACATTTCCATTTAAGAGTTCTTTGCTTAGTGTTAAGGAGCTGTTGCAAGCAAAGAAGGCAGATCAATTTCAACTAAGTATTGTCTAGAATATAGACATTGTTATGTGTGTTTTTGTATTTCACCTTTGAAAAGAAGATTGTATTATTTTTCAGGGATATTTCATTCTTATATGATGCAACTGTCCCAGACAAGAGAGTCTTAGACTCAGCTGGAAAACAGCTGGTTATGTCAGGGCCTGATGGAATAAAGATGTCCCCTGGAGACAAGTATTTAGAGCGTGCTGAAAAAAGCAGAGAAAGTGAGAAGGATGCAATGGTAAAGTTTTGGAGAATTTTCATGACAGCACATTACCTAGAGTAACAAAGATTATTGATTATTTAGAGTTAGGTTGAACTCTACAGTAAACTTGAAATTTTGTTTCTGCTCTTTTTCAATAGGAAGTGAGATCTCAAATTCCCAACAGCCTCATTCCCTCAGAGTATCATATAGTCAAGAATCCTGGTGTCATGGGATTAGAGTTTCAAGAAGAGTATGTACAGAGAACATTTGCCAACTTAAGTTAACTTCTCTTCTCATTATTAATATCATGTAATACATTATCCACCTAACATGTGGGGAGAATAGTTAAGAATACCTTATTTGCTCACAAATTCAGAAAACAAGTGGCAGCTAGATGGGTAAATTATCTGTCAAATGTTGAAAGTTAAAGGGTAAATTGAAGTGCGAAAAAGTATTACATATGATTCAAATGTAACACACACATCTGGTTCATTTTATATTTAATAGGCAAAGTAATCATGAACATTCATTCCTTTTTCATTAACTCTAAATAATTGGTTACAGTTGTGCATGTACATACCTTTATTCATGATGTAACTCATACAAATCTCCATTCATTTGTTTATTTTTTTGATATGTAAAAGTCACATTTATTGTTATTACAGTAAGTATACCACATATGTTCATGGCCATGAGGATCATCTCACTGTTTTCCCTTCAATGTAAGTGAACCCTGATCAATTTTTTAAAATATAATTTGTTAATTTTTTAGCCATCATTTATTTGCATCTTACTGGTATTTGGATTAAATATGCCTTGCTCTTTCTTGTAAAAATTTGTACTATAATCTTGGTATGTATGTTATTAGGAAAAACTTAAGGGGTGATAAGAACAAGATTTAGATAACATTTGCCATCACTACTTCCTTTTCAAGCCAGCGAAAAAGAAAAATTAAAAAAACCTTATAAGGGATGGACTTTGAGCAATACCATTTAGCTAAACTTTTTGGATAGTTGGGTGGCTGTCAACATGAAGGATTCTCATTTATATCTACTTGTTCGTGTTAATTGATTTGAAATGTTTATATTATTGATAAATAGGAATCATTGAAAGACAGTAAGTTTTCCTATCATAACAATTCTTTTTGATTTGAAGGAAACCAACAGGGAGACAAGAAGTGCTTAAACTAAAGGTTTGTTGTAGATCATTTCTGCTCTTTTTAAAGTGCCACTGTATCTACGCAATCACTCGATTCACATGCCTGTTAATGACAATTTTGCCTCAGGGAATGTATTGGGTTTAACCATTTTTATTTGTTTTTTCTTTGTAGCATGCTATGGATTCTATGTTGGCACGTGCTGGTGTTGATGACGAGGGCAGAGAATTGTCAGGCCCAACTCAGGTACAAGAGATGATTGCACAAGTCACTCTCATGCACTTTGTATCGATTTTCCTTGATTGATACTGACATTGTTTTCGGTCATTATTATAGTCTAAGAAGTTTTTTAATTAAATGACCAAATGGCAAATGACAGAGCTTTAAACTAAACTCTTTTTGGGTCATCTTGTCGTGAACTCAGGTCATAAGATTGTCCTCAGCATTAAAATTTTAGTAAAAAGATAAAAAAAAAGGAAATAATGAAAATATAGGAAAAAAGACATTTTGTGCAATATTACAATCTAACAGTCATGTGCTGCAGAGTTTAATTGTTGCAGACTGTATAATTACTGTAGTGCTGCTAGAATAAGCTCACTAGGTGTATAGTTGAAGGTTTACTTAATTAGGGCAAAAGTTATCATTTTTTTATTATTCTACCTTGTTATAAATGAGGTAAAAGTAGCCACTGTGACTAGTAGTTTATTTATCATAATGACAAAAAGATTGGCAAGTTTTACAAGTTAGAGTTGTTACCACATGTACATATGACTCCTTGGTAATAATGCTGGAAAACAATTCTTTTCAGATTCACAACCTTCTTGAGCTGGTTAAAAAGGAGCAAAACATATACAACGTAGCATTTAATGAAATAATTCGTCAAGTAAGTGATGAATAAACCTTACCACCTTGTCGTTATTATATCCACACACTAAGGTTACTTTGATTAAATCTTGAAAATGCACTCTGGGCCGATAATATTGCAAAAAATAAATGAGGGAATACTTAGATTTAAACTCATCTCACCGTAGTTATCGTTTTGTCCAGTTTGTATAGTTTGTTGAAAATCATACATGCTGGGAGAAAGGGAACTGTTTACCATTAGTAAGAGGCTACTGCACTTGACACAGCGGAAACCCCTTGTGGTGTCCACAGTTTTCTGAGTTAAATGATCACACTCCTACATTCCAAATGCCAGTTCGACTTGGAAACAGAGGACAAGAAGAGCCACCTCATAGAATGACCACCTCTAAATTCCATTAATATATTTTTTTCTATTTTTTTTAGGTAACAGTTGAATGTGCAGAGAGGGGAGAACTGTTAGCGAACTTGAGAAAGCGCTATGCAGATCTCTTAGATCGCATTCCCAGACAAGTGAAAAGGTAACAAAAGACTGAAAACACTAATCCATCAGCAGCTGTTCATGTTCCTAAGTTTAATGTACACTTTTCATCAAGAGGATTAATTACAACCAGCAGTTAGCATAAATCTGCCACACTACATAATGTACCTTACCACGCCTCCGTACACTGTGATTTCATTTATTCCTTAATGGAGATGAAAGTTAAGACTAATGTAATTATTTTGAATTTCGATTTCGGGAAATGCAACGTAAAATATTGGCATCTAGGTGTAAAGATTCAAAGGTTAAAAAAAATTCAGCATCGTCTGTTTTCATTGCAGTCTTCACCAGGAAGTTATTGCTCAGAGGGCTTTAGACAGGTAGGAAAACTGTCAGTAGCTTCTACCTGTGTCTTACCATTACACACAAACCTATAAGGAGTTATCCAGCCTGTTCCAGGTGTTCTGTTAGGAAAATCAAGTGAAATAAGAAACGGCAGGATTTTTAGAAGCGACAGGGCGAAAACCAAGGAGGTCCTGTTTAGGCTTATTACGCGACCCGACCCAAACCTCCTCACGCTTCGTTTTGCTAACTAAGCGCCTTGAACAGGTCAGGAGCTCTTTTACAATATGTTATCTTTTTGCACTTCCGTGTATGTGCAAAACTTACCTAACTGTACCCTATATAGGGTAAGTCTTCTCTTTATGCTAAAAGGTGTTGTTATCAAAATGTAATGGCTGACATCAGAATAAAATATCTGGTGACTTGCATTTCCGACACATCAAACATTTCTGATTCTCTTATTGTACTTAATTTTTCGTATGCAATCATTTTTCCGGTACAGGAGACTAACGGAAGAACTTGTGCGATTTAAAGCATCTATAAGTTCTCTAACCAGGTATGTAAAGTATACTGCCGAAAACTTTCAGATGGAGCAATTTTCAATTAAGCTCCGAGAGTGATCCGAATTGCTTTGTTTTTGCTTTACTTCGCTCAGTGATTGGTCTAGAAAACTCGCGCCACTCTCTGAACTAATCAGATGCCAAACTAAACACCGATCACGACTTGCTCGCTTGTGTTTACCCGCGCTCTAGGAATTGTGGTTGGTTTTACCTTGAGTTCTCATCGGCTCTTAAAGTAAATTTCCTTTCTTTTGATTACTGTGGCTGCTTTGGTTTTGGGTTTAAGACGCTCAATCGAAAAAGCGCTCTACCAGCTCTACCATGCAATTACTGATTTGGCAGCATCGAGAAAACTCAAAGAAGACTTAGTGATCATTTTTCATTTTTGTCTTTATTGTCAGTGAACTTGCTTCAGTCAAGGCTCATGATCGAGAAGTTACCCAACAGGCCAAATATGCCCAAGAAGAGGTAAATGAATTTAAAAATTCTTTTTGTATCATTTTGAGCATGAAAATCGGAAAACTTCGTTTGTAATTTCGAAAAAAAAGGAGCCGATGCTGTCGACCTTGGTTATTAACGCGTGTCTCGTTTGCATTCTATTTTAGCTGCACGAGGCACTGGAAGAATCCGATAAGAACGCTAGGTAAGTTTCAGTGGTCATACAGTTAAAGAAATCTTGGTTGTTGCAATCTTTAAACAAACCGTTTTCCATGTGAGGATCCAGAAATCCATTCAATTGCTAATAATAATCCGTTTTTTGTCACACCTTTTAGCTTGATTTCAGAATACCACGACTTGTACGAGCTACAAAGAAAGAGACTTGAGGACCTCGTTGGTGAATACTCTTAACGCTATTTTAGCAATGATTTTGTATTTTGCACGCACTTGTTACGAACACTTTTTTAGAAAAGGGTAAAGATTGTTTTGCTCACAGCTACTTCCTGCCTTCCCTGGTAAATGTTTAAACGTTTGCTTGGAACCTTTTCATAATAATGGTAGTACCTTTTTTCCCTTGCGCAGGCAAATTAACTGAAGAACGTGATTTGTGGAGCAGTGCAGCCTATACCCTTTCCCTAAAGGTCACAGACAAACATTCGTTAAACACTGCTAAGAAATTACACCTTTGTGAAAAAGCCTGGGCCAAGTTGAGCCGACACTTTGCAATATTCCTGAGTGAAAAGGACAGTATACAGGTTTGCAGAACCCTTTTTTTCTTTCTCTCTAATATGACCTATTTTTTGTTCTCCTCAGAGTTTTTACAAATTTAATCGTTCTTCTTGACTAGTTCACGGCTTTTAGTTTTCTGACATGGCTAAAATTTTTAAGTCTCTGTTCTGTAGTTTGTAGTTTTCTTCCTGAAATGTACCACTTTCCCTGTTTATTTTTTGGTCTTGAAAGTTAAAAATGCCTATAACTTTCTCTTGCTTTGTATTTCAGCTGGAGACCTTGACTCATCATGTTCAGAAGTGGAAAGAGCTCTCCGATAAGTTTAACAAAAAACTCGTTTCCTCTGAAGAAGAAATGAAAATCAGGGTCAGTTTGCTGGAATTTTTTTGGTGGTTAATTTGTTTTTTTAGTTTAGAGCACGAAGTTTATATTCTTATTGAACTGGCTATGTGTGCAGGGAGCCTAGTAGGTCAACAAGTATGTGTATTTTAACCTTACGCTATGTTGGTGCAAGGATTTAAAACAAACTTTATTTGGATACACACTGTTTTGTTTGGAGTGTGACGGTCATCGACTACGCCCTTTAAAAATTTTGTCATGCGTGAAAAGTACCATAGCGGGTTGTGAAAGGCGGTTATCATCCGAATATCTTGGTAGTTGTAAGAGTTGTAGACTTGTTATTTATTTGTAATTTGTTTGGTCTAATATAGCTTGAAAGACTGATAGGTCAACTTCATAGATGGAAGAAGGAGTTTCTCAAAATTGTCAAGTAAGTGAGAACGTTATACCATTCTTGTCTTGGCAGGAGTAATGTTACCAATGGAAGAATACGTCATTGTCTGTGTTGTCTGAAGTGTTGAAAACATTGTCACAAATTTAACAGATAAATTGTTAGTGAGGCATGCAGTTATTGGGAAAACCTCTTCCCTTAGGAGAAAAAGTATTCCAACATGAATCATTTAAGTTGTTTGTTGAGATGAGATACTTAAGCTTTATCGCTGGGACTTACAATGAGGCAAATCTTAGCTACAGGTCTCTTCCCTAGTCGCCATGTTCGTTCTTGTTCCAAAACGGGTCTTGCGGTTCGTCTCAATGCGAACATCACACAAATTCAAATCAGTTTAAAAAGCGAGTTTACAAAGCGAGTTGCCGCCTTGTGTGTAGGGGTCTTCGTAGGAGAAAAGACTTAACCAAAATTATAGAGTTTCTAATAAGGAATACACTTATACTGTTTCCGTTCAGTTATGATAATGGCAGTGTGCGTCCCCCTGACGAGCAGTTTATCAAGAATTTATCCGAGGATTTGAAATCATGGGAGGAGACATTGAACCAAGAGGCAGAGCATTTCACAGGGGAGACACTCCTATCACGTGAAGACGAACTGTACCAGATGAACAGGGAGGTGGATGGATGGACTGATGTGGCGCTTAAGGTAAACAAATAATGACACAGGGGGTGGGGTAGGTGAGGTATTTTATTCATAGGGCTTAGCCACACTGAAAGAGATGTTCCCCTCCTGTGCAAGTTGAACCGTAGGTCGGGGAGCTTAAATTTCAATTGATCGGGTTTGGCCACACCGTAAATTGGGGGCTCTTCCTTTGATCAGGTTTGGCCACACCGAAAGAGTCGATTCTTGCCTTTGCTAGGAAAAACGGAATTCCATAATTCGCAATTACACGCGCGCAAATTGCACGCAAGGTGCTAGACTTCCCATGCGTTTAGTGTAAGTCTGCTCGAAGGTTACAAATGACGCCAAGAACCGTTTTTTTTTAAACGTCAAGTTGCAAAAGGAAAAGGGTCGTCATCTTTAAAAACAACATATTGCTAAAGTAATCCTGCCTATACCTTGTTCTTGCCACTAAAGTGTTTTGGTGAAGGCCACATATATAATGATAATAAGATCACATTGATATGAAATTTCTAGTTTGTAAACGAGTTTTGCCACGTTTTTCAGGTATTCAGCCGCCACGAAGCTGACGATGGAACAAGATGGCTGCAACACGAAGTGATGTCCCAGTTGAACCAAGAAGTAGATCGCTTACATCAGCAGTATCACGTAAGAATTATCGGAGAAAACGGAGTGGCCAAAGGGATTATTGATCTGGTGAATCCAATCGAAACATGGTGAGCAGATTTTGTCTGTCTATGTAAGTGGAGGTGTGTTGATTCATTGACGTGACTTGTATTTTAAAAGACATGCGTGTCTTAAAACAAATTTTTTGTATAAGAAATAGGGACTGCTGTTGTGTTGTTTAAATTAAGAATAATATTGTTATTGTCCTCGTTAATCTGTTCTCGAATGTGATGTCGCTTACTATAATTCTCATTGTGTTAAGTGTTTTAGATATATAAGACTTGAAGCTGTTTTATCAGCGAGAGGCTCGCACATTTGCTCAGCGAGTTTTCTTAAGCAAGTTTCCCCCTAACTTCTCAACACTATCTTCCGCTCGGTGATCAGGCCACAAAACTCGCTTGAACTTGTCAACCAACCATTGTAACCCTAAAGGTGCAAAACTTACACTAACGGCGACTTAATCACTCGCCTTTTTCGGTGTTGGAGTCCTTCTGTTTCATGCGTCAGATTCTTTGAATAGTCATTAAAATAATTAGATGATCTTCAAATAAAGTTTTGAAAACATGTCCAGGAGCAGACTGAAAAAGAGCAATGTGCTCCTTAATGTGATAATTTCGTTTGCTTGTATCAGCTATTTTAACTCCATCCGTTACGTAACAATAACCTTTGTCCAACCATTAAAATATTTTTTTATCCCAAGGGGAAACAAACTTAATACTGTCCTAAATGGAGGTGACATGCTGCTCGATGCGGACTGGATACGACTTTCGGATCAGGTACGCGAAGAATGGGCTGATCACCTCACTGAAACGCTTGCTCTGATTGGCTCAACGCAGAAGGAAGGTGCTCGGTTGAGCGGAGAGGAGGAAAATCCAGTGAACGTGGAAGAAGTTTTTAAAAACACTGTTAAATGGCTGTCAGCGACAACAAATGGGATTGACAACGAGGATGCCAAAGTTGTTGAAAGAGTAGGTTGAAAAAAAAATCATTTTTCTTCTATGTTGCACGGTGTTTTTAAACAGAATATGCTGTAGTTAACTCGTGGGCGCGTTAAGTTTGGTGTTGAGATTTTGCGAAATCTCTTGAAAGCTTTTTGACTGTGAGAGACTCCCTCATGCATTTGGTTATCAACTAACAGTCGGTAATCACAGCAAAGTGATTTTCGTGTACAAGCAGGGCTGCTTTCCACGTCTTCTACAGTTACGTGAACTTTAAGTAAAAAGGAAGCATCCTTTAAGTAAAGTAATTTCACCTCTGACTTGGTCACTCTCTTTTTTCTGGTCCTCGGGGCAATTTTCTCGTACGTTGTTGCCATATTTAACTTGTTCCAATCGTTTCAGTTCTAGTTTTATGACACTTAATCAAGAAATGCTCTAATGTGTTTTTTGGTGATCGTTGTTACTAGGTTACACAACTTCACAGCGCTATGATTCGCTGGATGATCACAGTTCTCCTTCGCCTGACCCCAGACATGGAGGACAAAGAACTGGAAGAGATTAACAAAGAGACAGATGATCAAGAGGTGGATGCCTCTCTAGGAGGTGGAGAAATCCTGCTTCAAGCCATTCCTGAGGAAATATGCAGTCGGGCGCAGAGGCTGTTTGAAGAACTGAGAAAGTTTTCTGGTCTTTTGGCAAAATGCTGCTCTGATCTGGTGATTGATTTGATGCAGGTTGGTAGAATTCGAGCAAATGCATAACGCTCGCTCCGTAATACGCGTCTCCAAAAGTAACCACCTTGTCAGCTGAGCCAATTTCACAGTAAGGTCCTCGTTAATAATGACTGAAAAGTAAATAGAGCTTGATGTTGGATTGACAGGACTATTACACCGGCTCTTAGTCGAAGGTTCTAGTTGTACTTTTTAAGGTTTCCCTTCTCCTCTTGAAAATGTACAGAGTTTAAAACGCATATGCAGAGCTACTGTTTTGCTCATTTTTATAATTTACTTTTTTTTTACCACTTTCTCGTCTCCGTTTTCTTCACACATTGCTTAAGGTAACCATATTATGTTTTACAGGAAAAGCGCGATCAAGGTGATGAACACGCAGATATGGACTTTAAGGATCTTAAGCGGCTGAGTGTGGAATGTGAAGGTTGGATACGAACTGCTCGGTTGCTCATCCAGGATGTTATGGGAGAGGACTTTGTCTTTGAAGATGTTTCTGCGAACACGAAGAGAGGGGCTGATAGAGCGGTGTCAACGGATTCTAAAGTCACTGAAACTGAGGTAACATTGAAATAATATACTTGTTTTTGCTTTTACGTTGTCGTGTTATGACGCAATAGAATCTTGTCTCTTCTCTTTGGCTCTCTTTTATTTGTGTGGTCAAGTGTATGGTTACTGAACTTCAACTCTCGTTTTGCCCTCAGATATTTTCGCATGGGTTAATAAGAGAAGTTTCAAGGGATTTTTGTTTGGGTCCAACAAAAGTTATAGTTTAAGAAAGATGTCTTTCTTTTTAGTCTCGAGTGTTCAGAAATAAACTAGGATACGAACCTCGGACCTCCAGAATTCACGGTTCGAGGCTCAATCATTGAGCCACAGAGAACTCGATGCCAAGCCCGATCTTCCACCAAATTGAAGCTCTGTATTAATAAATGACGCTCACTTATGTAAATTGGTCATTTCTTTAAGGCTGAAGATAGCGATACTAAGCAAATTGAAAAAGTGGAGGAAGCAGAGCCAGTGAAAGAAGCAGAAAAACAAGACGCTGACAAACTTGGAGCTGTTCTTGAAGTTCAGGAGGACTCAGCGAAAGAACAAGCACCCGTGGAAACTACTGACACATCTGATGTTACTGGACCTGCTGTAGACACCAGCGAGGAAACAAAAGGGGATGAGTCTGGGAAAGGGCCTGATGAAGCTCTTCTTGTCGAAGGGCCAGACCAAGAACAGGACGCATCCCGGATGCACGTGCTTGGACATGATGATAATATAAGAACCAAGTCCCTCGAGGAGCTTCCTCCAGACCAGGTACTTTTTATCACAATAGTATTACAGTACTGAATATTATATAACTTATCATTCGTTTTTTCATTTCTGGGTGACGACTGCCGCAGTGACCAAAGCTAAGCTACTTTTTCTCTAATTGGCACGTATATGGAAAGTTTTTGTAGTCTCAGTCAGACGTAATCTCCTGGTTTATTTTACTTATTAAAAAAGATATGTTGGTTTGTCGTAATAGTCAGGCAAAGATGGTGCTAAAATTATGCTATTGTGAGGCATTTTCAGGCCAGAGAGCACAAGGTCTCTACCATCAAAAGAAAAACAAAAGTGAGCCAGTATCTAGTCAACGGGCAGTGACAACTGTTTCGACCTCAACAGGCTTCATCGGCATGGCGCAGGTTTCCCGCCGCTTGGAAAAAAGTATAGATGCAACTTTGGTAATCCAGTGACACAAGTATAATATCCTTGTAAGGTGATGTAATTTTCTCTATTTGTCTTTTGACAGGAGGTAGAACTGCTGACTGTTCCTGAAGGCGAAGGTCAATTGCCTGGTGAGTGCATTTTTGTTCTATATCTAGATACAAATGTGCTGCTCTCTTTGAAATGTTTGTTGGAAACCTTACTAGTAAACGAAAAATTTTTTCATATCGTCAAGGACATTTTTAGAGTTATCTAACGATCAGTTGAACGTTATTAGTAGAGCGTAAGGCTCGGGTTTACTCACGTTGTTTACAAGCAAAAACAGCATGATGATAAAGATGTTTTGCCATGTTTCCTTCAGCTCGCTCTCCGTCACCAGATACTAAGAAGGCTCTGGAAGCCCTCGCTGCTGTAGAAAGACTTCAAGCACAGCTACTGTAAGTTGTTTCTCTTAATTTTTTTTCTCAAAGGACCGTGTAATATCTGCAAAGACTCTGTAAATTGTCCGGCGTCATTTACCTTCATGCAAAAGTCTGGATTTGTCTCTGGCCCTTTTTAGTCATGGTCCTTTCCAAAAGTTTTGAAGCGTATTCTCTAAACTCTTTTGAAATTGCTGCAAAACACCCCAAACAGAAAGTGAATGTTGGCGTCCTCGGTCTAGGCGATTCAAATTGCGTCATAATTGCGATGACGGTTGGTCATGCTCTGACGCGCGTGCGCACACTATGACAGTTTGTCTTCTTCAACACGTGCGCACGCATAAAATGTGACATTGCAACGGTGAGAGTTTGTCTTGTTCTAACGCACGTAGTCAGGACGGGAAGGGGAATTTCTTAAGAAAACTAGAACTTTTTTTCATGGACGCCGTCCTCAGTGTTATCTTTCTGACTGCTTCACGTCAAATTGATCACAACGATGACTCGTCTTGTTCTAACTCGCGTTTGTTGTCTAACGCGCGTCGGCGCGCAAAAAAAATGCATCATAATTGCACCGGCGGTTCATTTATTCGTCTCAGGTCCCCACAACTCATATTCCCATGAGATTTGAAATAAGTCAAAGACAAGTTGTTGCTATTACCCGGAGGAGAGCGGGAAACTTTGCGGAGTCAGTGTGTTACCTTGATGAGAATTGAAACAAGATCACTTGAGCTAGTTATCGGTCGCAGTTTTGTTAAAAAATATGGAATTAAAATGAAGAACTTTCAAATCCGCGATGGAAAAATTTGTTCATTTGCCTTCATTTTTTTTGTTGAATGACGCAGGGAAACAGAAGAGAGAGCCCAAGCGGCCGAAGAGCGAGCTATCCAAGCTGAAACTGACCTGAAACAAGCTCTAGAAAAAATCCGAGCCCTTGAACGGTCAGCGTCCCGCGCAAGTGCGACATCGGCAGGGGAATCTCAGACACCTGCGGACAGACCGGTCAGCACTAGCATGTCAAAGCGACCCACCTCTCAAGCCTCCACTGCGCAGGCGCAGACGCCTCAGCCTCCACGAACAGCTTCCCAGCAATCCACAAGGCCCTCAACTCGGGCATCAACAAAGAAAAAATAATTTGTTATGTAAAAAGTTGCGATGTAATATTATCAAGGAGTAAGTGACAGAAGATTCAACAATACTCAACCTTTGTAAATACACAACAGTGAAAAAAAGAAGTCCCTCAGATTTTGAAAGACTTCTAGGTTTTAAATAGGTATTGTATTTATTTTTATATCAGTCAAACAAACTCCGCGCATAATTTATTTTGACTATGATTTGCGTTGATCAAGTTTAGCGACCTCTTTTTCATCGGTAACTCTTTCCGTACATGTATATATGGAAACCCTTCCATTGCTACCAAACAACAAAAAAGAACCAGAAGTCATAAACAACCTATTTTATTGGTTTTTGAGTAAACAAACCAATGGGCTTGGCATTGGTAACAACCGAAAAAGCGAACTTAAATTTGTCTTCAGCACGTTATCACATACAGAAGAAAAAATTTAAAAAGTCCTCTGTGAGTTGCAAAATCACCATTTCTCAACAGTTTTTGACTGTTGCTGTACATGCCTAAAAGGTAAAACCGTACTCTCACCAGCAAGTTGTTCCTGACAAGTGTCACGCGCCCGCTCGCCTGAATAAAAATAATAATTTAAAAAAATGGCGCGTATTGTGCTGGCTAGACACGAGCGTTTGTCAAGGAAAATTTTCTCCCTGTAGTCAGTACCAATGAGAAAATTTCAACGTCATCTGGTGAGGGAACTTTGCTGTACTGAGTACAATTTTCCCAACAAGCTCCCAAAATGTGACTTAATCAAATAATCTAAACTGAAAATTTTAGGTCTTTGGTAGTTTTTCCCTGAGCCTCTGTTCAAATTTTGGCATGTTACTTTAAGGTCGAGGATCTTTTCAAGAAAATCAATTTCTTGTATTTTCGTATCTACTTTACAAGTTGCTAGTGTGAATGATTCGTGTTTCTTAGCAACACATTCGGGTCACACTGGGTGGTGTAAACACGCCTGGTCATTTTCAAAGCACTGTCTAACGCCACCAAAATACCCTCTTTAGACTAAACCAGGAATATTTTGGGACTTCATTCCCTTTAGTTAGCTTTCGGATGTCATCAGGGGATCGGAATTCTGGCCGACGACGAACGATTTTCTTCGAGTATGGCCTGAAAGATTTTTCACACATGGGATTCATGAAGAACTGTAAACGAAATTCTTGTCCATTTCTGGTGAAATTGTAAATTCCGTCTTTCCGAAGAAAAGCAGTCTCAAGATCTTCTTGCTTGGCATCCGAATCGTTCTGAAATAGAAAGAAATTATTGGGCCGATAAGTGTAACACAAGTTTTATAAAAGGGCCAACTCTAATTTTTCACTTAATCGCCTCGCTATGTTCGACACCAATTTCAAAAATAAATTTGTTCTTGCTAGTAATTTTCTTAGGAAGTGTTTGAGTGAACCTCGACTTCGTGTAATAGACTCAGTCCTCCTGGCTCGCTCATTCAAACATGGCACGCTCATTCGAACATGGCACACTCATTCAAACATGGCAAAAGGTGAATTTGTAGCTACTACCTAACTTAGGCGACTCTTGTCATAACCAAAGCTAAGTTTTTCCTTTTCCGGACTATACCTCTTCTCCATATTTGACCCAGTCGCCGTTCTCCTCTTTTCTATACCAAAGCCAGTGAGTGTCCAGATTGTTGCCTTGTTGTTTGATGCACGAGTCTGTAGTCAGTCTTCTCATGTCTGCTCTATGATAACTTTTTTGTATCTTCATGCTTTCAAAGTCAAGTTTTACGGTGTCTTTGATTTGCGATCTATATCTACATATTGCATTAAGAAAGGTACACGTAAATCACATGAGTTAGACTGTGCTGGAATGTCTAAATTATAGATAAATCGTTGTGACTGTTTTGAATTATCGCAGTAGGAAGCTAAGTCTCCTTTGCAGCCGTTGTTGGTCCCATCACGCAGCGCCATCTCTTCCGCGTTGCGTGACGAGACCAAACAACGTCTCCTAGAACCCCAACATATCCTGTGGGTTAAAACATTTTTATATTGAGTGTCGTAAAATCAAGCCAAAGTATTCAAATGGCCAATGAGAAGAAAGAAAAATACCTATTATAACTTGATGAGAACTTAAAAGGAAAACCATCCAAATTACCCTATGAGTGGGAAAACGCCGAGACCGAAACCAAGTCGTGATTGGATTAAGTTTTCTGATCGGTTGAGAAAGTGGCGCGGGTTTTGGGGATCAATCTCAGAATGAAGTAGAGCAAAACAAATGCAATTACGAATTAATTTTGACACCCAATTAAAAATTGTCCTATTTGAAAAGCAGGCTAAGTGGAAAAAGGACATGCCATTTTTCCTGCAAAGTTAATTCACCAATATGTAGGAGGGTAGATCGCTTGGTACGCACAAGATGGAAATCAAATTGTTTGGGATAATGCGGCCCTCGTACATGTACACTTAAACTTACGTTTCCCTGTAAGATTTGACTACTATGTCTATCTCTGTTGAAGTAATGGTGTCGTTCGCTGGATCACAAAAGAACTCTTCTATCTTCCTGTTGTCTTCTTCACTAAAACTTCTCCACCCCTCTAGGGACATGCGATATTGCCAATGATAGGGGAGAGGACAGTGGTGGCCGTCACACATGCTTCTCTGTTGACATGTCCCAGTTATGTAATCGGTACAGATGTGGGCCTGCGAGTTTTGGTGGATGTGCCCTGAAAAAATATGCACAAGAATCTTTCAGGGAATTCTTATTTTCATCTTTGACTTTACTGATCAATATCATTTATTTACTAACACTGATTTTTATCTCTGACATCAGATTAGCCCGACTTCGGGGGAGAGACTAAGATTCTCTATTGTAACGGTCCTACACCAACATTTTACTGCAAGAGGTTCTTCTAGTTATGCACCTGTAAGAGCCCCTCCCTTCACCCTCGCCCCCCACCCCATCCCTCACCCAGCTATGCGCTCGGACAACCAAGAGATGTCTCTTAGTAAGGTTAGTTACAATTAAATTTTCCTCACCTTCAGTTACATTCTCAGACGTATGCTCCGTAGAGTCATCCTTTTTCGCTTTCCCACGATTGCGAAGGCTCAACTCGTCGTTCGCCATCTTTCTTCGTGAGCCTTCGTAACTTGTCGTATTCCGAGAGGTAGACCTTCTTTCCCGTTGATTATCCCTTTTGTTCCGATCCTCTTTCGATGCAGCTAATGATCGTATGACACATTGCTTCCCATCAATTTCTGAGAAAAATATTCCAGTGAGCCGATTGCGATATCTATAGGCTATCAGAAATGCCAAGAAAATGAACATACTGCTTCCAACTCCAGTTGGGGTGAAAAAATCAATTTGTTCGCCTTTTACTTGCTCTTTCATATAGCCGCGGATAAGCCATGGATAACACCATGTGTAACCAACCGAAGATATGTCGAATGAAAATTCCGCAAAGTAGTATGTTGCCTTCGACAAAATGGGCACAATTACGAAGATGAAATACTCCAAAAGTGCGTAAAGCATTTTTGTAAATAAACTCCATAACAGTTTTACTACTGTAGAATTAATAAAGATCTGCCAACACCTGTACAGACCTGATGCAATGGAGACAAGGTTTAGCCAGATAAAAATTCCGACTGCTCTAAAGATAGCAAAGACTGCGTAGATAATGATACGCAGGAGGGAGGTGACAATCTGAAGTAAAGGGTCACATAATAACAAAACGTCGTGTAGTGTTTGCAACAACGGGTGCAGCAGGAATGCAGCAATACTATAAGTGAGCTCCAAAAGTTGAAATAAAAATCGAATAACCGTCAAAATTTTGAGAAAGAAGATTATGGCGATGATCGCGAGGACCGCTGTGACTGTGTACTTTCCGCCTGGAGTGTAATCGCTTGTGAGAAGAAACAGCCTTCGACAGAGTTCGCAAAAGCCCCTCACATATACTTCGCTTTCTCGCAGTTTCGCTTTTAAAACTCTAGAAATACGATTTACTTTACGTGAAAACGCTTGGGAAATCGGTGTCCAAACATGTTTTCTGGTTTCCTCTTCACATTTTGAGTAAAAACGCTTGGGTAAAGTTATGACCCACATCATGGACTGTTTGTAGTCGTAATAACACATCTGTCGAACCCAGTCGACCATGGACACAATCATTATGCCTACTTGTGTATAAGCGACGGATATTGCTTCGAAAATTGCCACGAAGAAGTTAACCATTGATGAAATCATGGCAATAATGGCTTCAATGCAGCGCTGTGAGCCTGTTCGAAGCCGGTGGAATGAATTCATCATCACATGTGGAAGATTCTTGTAGGACAATGCGGGTTTCTGTCGAGACGTCTTGTCGTTGTCCATGCTTCGACAGTTTCAATGTAGCCTGTGTCTTTGCTGTTTTGATTTATGAATTATAGCCTCTTTGGGTTTAACCCTCTCTCCATAACTCGAGTATTAACGAACTCCTTAGATTTCCTATGCGATTTTTAAACGATAGAAACCATTTATGAAAACCTGTCGGTAATGAATCTGATCACAGCAAAAAATTATCGAAGTGAAATATTGTGCATCTGTTAATTTAAATAACATTCTCACCAGCGCATTAATTATGTGCATCCTTTCACTTGCCATGAACAACAAAACACCTTTCAAACAACCGTTCTATGGCGTTCATTTCCATTTGACGAGGTTTGACACTAAACGAGGGCCTAAATTCTGTTTCGTGAGACGGAAAGCGTCGAACATTTTTTTCAAAGCGTGAATTTCGAGCAAGAGACATAGTTTTGACCTTTGGAATTGCGTTACCCGTTTTGACACAAAATGTAAATGAAAGGTCATACTAGACTGAACGCTTTGAGTGGTGCAACAGTCTAAAAGTAACTTAATGTGTTAAATTTACGGACAGATCGAATTGAACAGTTGACGTTTCTTGAATTAATTCGTCTGAGCGTTAGTCATTTCGGTGTCGCTGACTTAACAGACGGAAAATTGCACGTTAGTATGATGAATTTCATGTACATATTAAACTAGTGAAAAACTGTTCCCCTTCTATACCCCGCTCAGGAACAATACTGAGAAATTCTGAGAAACCGCAGTACCAGTTTCGTTTCCGGGAAAAGTAATTATTTTTGTGACATTGAAAGACAAAATGGCAGATGATCACGTTTTGCAAACTAAACTCTTCAATTTCATTTGCGGTAGCGGTGGTTTTGTCGACTTGACTGTTCTTCTGAAATCATCGTCGCCTCTAGGAAGCAGAAAATCCGAAGAATCAGCCAAGAAATGGTTGGAAAGTCGTCAAGGACCTCGGGCTGGGTTCGCCTGCGTCAAAGATCAAAATGGCGAAATCGTTGGTGTACGAGTTGATTTGCGAAAGAAAGTTTGTTATCGATATGCGACTAAAGGCATTTGTCGCTTTCGACGACGTAAGCAAGGTAACTGCAAATACTGGCACATTTGTAAAACTTTCGTGGAAGGGAGATGTGACGACTTTTGTGACCTTTCGCATGATTTTTACAGCGACGATAACTGGGAAATAGCGGAAGACCTCAACCTTCCTGAAGATAAATATTCAAACGGGGCAATGAAGAAAATTGTATCCTGGAGTTTGCCACAGGTTTGCGAGTTGTATCAAAGAAATGAATGCACATGGAGTCAATGTCCGTATATTCATGTTTGTGCCCAGTTTATTGAAGAATCGTCACATTCAAATTGTGTCTTGTCACATGACTTGGAGGATTCTCATAACTTCATGATTCTCGAGAAATACGACTTAGTACCATCCAGTCAAGTAATAAACATTAATTTTGTGCGATGCAATGTTTTGATTTTGGAGGAACAGAAGCGCATCAACACAGCTGTTGTCAATTCTGATCCAGGAAGGGAGCAAAACCGACCTTCACGTCCGTTCTCAGTGGTGCGAGAGGAAATCGACCAAGCGAAAAATGCCCGAGTCGCTCAAATGCCTGAGTCGCTCAAAACCCTACGCGAGAGGTATCAACTGAGAGAAACTATTTTAAGCAAAATGCGGAGCAGTGTCTCAGCGTTTAAGGAACAGCGAGTCGATGAGTTACTAAACCATAAAATGCCAAGAGCAGCCTCCATCAACTGTGTACCTTCAGAAAGTGAACCGGAAACAACGCGTTTAAAATCTAACATGATGACAACAAGTACTGCTGTTGATTCACAAACTCAAAGGGTTCCCTCAACCCCTTGTTTTCCAACCGAATGGAGAGTATTCGAATGTCTGTGCAAAGAGTATGGCTCATCAGCATCCATCCAAAATATTGCAGGGCGAAAGGATTTATTCCCTCATGGAGTAGAGGGCGCCGTAAGATGGTTTCGTGAAACGACCAAGGGAAGCTTCTTGATAACCAGAGGCAGCCAAGGAACGATTACAGGAGTTAGGGCTTTCTCTGCAAGAGCTCGCATTTGTGTGTGTTACAATGAGAACGGAAGATGCCATAGATCTGACTGCTCATTTCTGCATATTTGTAGAGATTTCGTCACTGACTCTTGTAGCAATGGCGTAACATGTTCGCTAAATCACCACTTTCACAATCAGAGAGACGAGGCCTTTCTGACCAGGATCAAGCTCAGCCAGTTTACCGAACAGCAGCTCCACCAGCTCGTTCTTTCTTCAACACCTCAGATTTGTGTGGAATACAACAATGGTGTTTGCAACCGTGGTGACGACTGCAGCAGGATTCACATGTGTTGTGGTCATATCAGGAAGTGTTGCAGTGCTAAAAATGAATGCGGCTTGGATCATGAGGAAGCGATGGATACCAAACACACTCAGGCAGTTCTTGGGCGTTATTTGTTACACAATGTTGCAAAAGCTGAAGCAATTGCCATGATACTTGATGATAAACTTTGTCTTTCAGGCAAAGAGAAAGCAAAGGGTCAGTATTTGTTTGGACTCTTCCTCTTTATATACTAACAGCGACCCGTGAGAAGTCCAAATTAAGTGGTTCGTTTTAGCGTGCTTATATTGTGAGAAAATTGATTATAAATGTATTGAGTTGAGTACGGTTTTTCCAGAATCTTACGTGTGATTTCAAATCCTAAATATAATTCTCGACAAAAAGTGCACGATACGTCGTTCAATTATCGCTTTCTTTGCTTCTATTTACTACACCTGTAAGTACTTAAATTCATCCTTTTTCCTAAAAAAAGGAAGATGAAAATGTCTGCGGACAAAAGCAGCAAAAATCGCCATATGATGGATTTTCTTGTCTCTTATTTCCAGAAATTTGACCATTTACTTTGCCTTGAAATCTATTTGGTTGTTTGTTGTCAGTGTTGGTTTTCTCCTTAGGTTGGAAAAAGATGAGATTTAGAACAAAAAATGGTGTGATTCGCGAATAAATCCTATGGCTGAGAGCCAATCAGATCGCAAGAATCACAAACAATTACAAAATGGATGTAATCAAGTGTTTTACCGATTAATATTAATTTAAATGGTTCTTCATATTCATTATACTCATTAGAACATTTTTTTTTCATCACCGTGCATCACATTCGCAGGACACATTCACAAGGACAAGCCAGATGCTTACATCTGCTCAAGATTTCTTATTGACGAATGTAAAAAAGGCACAGGATGCCCAGAACATCACTTGTCTAAGCCGTATCACTGGCAGTATAAATGGTTTACGTCCGATGAATGGAAAAGTTTTGGTGACGTGGACAACTTTGCATTGGAGAAGCTCTACTGTGACGTGAATGTCGAGGCGCCAGTTAATTTCAAGCCAGCACAATCCCTTGAAGTCTCCTCTCTTCAAAGGCAAGTAAATGAAATGATTAACAGTACTGTTTTTTTTTATCGATGAAGTTACTGCTCAAGACGTTAGCTCCAACAATTATTCATCGTGGTAAAGGAAGATAGTTTGGTCTCCACCTTTTATTTTGCCTGAAGTTATAAATCGTTTTGATTTACGCACAACCAGTTGATATTTGAGTTAAAACGTACTGTTTACCACGGAAAATCTGAAATCCTAATCTGAAATTGGCGCTGCTTTAACGTTCACTTTTGATTTTAATGTAAAGTAGACTTATCATTGGTCAAAAGTGGAGTGCTCATGGCCATGGAACTTTGTATATATTGAGGCTTGAAAAAAGTCACTCTTAGGAATTACGTTGCAGTAAATATCTCGGAAAATGTGAACTGACTTGGAAAGCTGAGAAGCAGCGATTAAAATGAAGCAGCTTTACAATGTTGGTTCTATAGTAAGTTAACGCGTTTGAATAGCCATCTTTGGGGATAGCCAGGAAAACAATTTTGTAAATCTCTCGAAAACACTTAAAAGGTCATACCGACAACAGACCATCGGATGAAAAGTAGATTTTTGTGAAGCATCTCGAAAACTCACCTCAGGAATTTATTTTTTCTTTGATCATAAATTTCAGATTAGGAATTCGTTCTCTTGCCGATGGATATGAAGTCAAGATCGACGTTAATAATATGACTTTGTCCATTTCGCGAAGTTCACAACCACGCAGCTCATTCGCCGGAGCACTAAGGCGACTGTCCACCGCTGCTTATGAAACTTTTCCTTGTGGTGTCATGGGTACGAATTGGAAATGGTACTGGGAAGACAATGGCAATGTTTGGCGTACGTACGATAAAGATCACTCGGTAAGCTCGTATAAATTTCTCACTTGGTTAATCTTGGCTATAGAGAAAATAAAATACGAAAATAAACTTAAATGTGTTATACTCTTCTAGGGAAGCATTCTGCAGGGCCACATAGAGAAAGCTTTTCTCGATGGCCGCACCAATTACAAGTTTAACACCTCAGAGCACGAATACAATTTGGTATTTCATTCAGCAAGTAACATGCATCAAATTAATCTGAAACTTGGAACCAAGAGGGCGGTTAAAAGACGACCCGAAAAAGCTTTAACAAATGAGGACATGGAAGACTTGATATGGTATGTATATATTACAGTTTTATCGCTGTCAGCGTGCAGAAATCCAAACGATCAGTAATCTTTTTTTCCTTCTTCAGTTTTCCCGTCTCTTCCTTCATTCCGTTCTGCGATGATATGGAAGACAAACGTCGCTAAAGCCACGAAAACTATCACACACCACGAAATATGAACGCTTTGACCAGTTTACAGTCTAAAGACTGTTACAGGGGGTTCTTGACTTTAAAAAAGCATTCATGGCGCGAGAAAGGAAGGGAAAGAAATGGAGATCACCTTGTTTCATGATATTTTCAGTTAAAATTTTTTTCTTTTTCAAATTTTTGTAGGGCTTACGGAGATTCCTCCAGAAGGAGAAAGATAGAAAACAGAACAGCCATGTATAACGTTCCAAACCACTGGTCTTCCATGCCACCCGATGGGCAGTATATTCGCGTCATGTTAACGACATCATCAAAGGAATATAAAGAAGTTGAGCAATTGTTCCGAAAGTCGATGAACGACCACATTTCAATTGAAATTGAAAGGATCGAGCGTGTACAGAACCCTTTCATGTGGGAGAAGTATTGCAGGTGAGAAAGAAGATATAACTTGGAAGAAAATGTATAAAATTAGAGAAGAGAATTATTCAGCCATATACTTGCACAAAGTATTAATAGAAATTTAGATATAGAGGATATTACATGTTGGAGAGACGATATAAATTTTATACACGGGTGGCTCGTTCCACGAGAATATAAAATTTGTACTTCTCTTTTTGCTTTATGGACAATAAATATCCTTGACAGAAATTAAAAAAAGCTTGCTTTAATATGAGTGGTAACAAAATACCCGGTGCCCAAATTATAAAAAGGTTCACATATAACACCGTCAGTTGGGTCAAAATGCATGTGAACTGGTTTTGAATAATCTTCATAAAAATTCGATTTCTGACTTTGACATGAATCATCAGACACATCTATTTTCAGGCTCTTTTCTGAGTACGAACCTTTCAAGGCTGTTCAGCACAAACATTTATCTTTTCCTCGTCGCAACTTTCGAGAATTCCTAGAAAATCTTTAGATCGACAGAGTTTTATCCACATTTATTTCTGTCTCCTCGCAATTTTCGAGAAATTCCTTTAGATAAGGCGGGGATCGTGACGTCGTTTCTCAATATGACCACTCGTGTTACATACGAAAAATACGCCACTCAGTTCCCGGATGTGGTAGCCGCATTGATTCTACGAGTGTTTTAGTTCCCGGTAATACACTCCCTTTCATAAATAAATTTATATGTTTAAATGTAGGGAAATTGAATGAAACGTGCACACTTGGCACACTCGAGATGACATTTTATTAAGTATATTGACAATCATGCATATTGCACTGAATAAAGTTCCTTAAATACTCTAAGGTCTCTTGTGGGTAAGAGTGAGGACACTTTAAGATTGGAATTTAGAGGCAAATAAATGATTAGCAATGGCCATTATCTATTGTCACTTACAATATGTCCTTTTGCTTCCTCTTGTTAGAAAGAAACAGAACATGAGGCTAATAGCAAGAAGGAATCAACAGGCAGTCAATGAGAAAAACTTGTTTCACGGAACCACTCCAGACTCGGTGGAGGCCATTTGCAAACAGAACTTTGATTGGCGTCTGCACGGAAGAAATGCATCTAAGTATGGTGAAGGAAGCTATTTTGCAGTGAATGCATCATACAGCCATTCCTACGCAAAGAGAGATGGCAATATGTCTCAATTCATATTCTTGACCAAAGTTCTCGTTGGTTCCTATACACAAGGTCACTCCAGTTATCGAAGACCACCGCCGAAGCAACAATCAGATCCCGCCAGCGACTTATACGACTCTTGTGTAGATAACAAGTCCAATCCCACAATCTTTGTGGTCTTTGACACCGATCAGTTCTACCCAGAATACATAATCCAATATTCCTCTGCTCAGCCGGAGGCACCCACAAAAAATACGACGGTGAGACCCAAGCCGAAACCTGTAAGTGCTCACAATTCTCTTAATAGCCTCAACACAGTATCCAAACCAAGCCTACCTATCGGCAACAGTAACAGCTATTTAGTTCCCGCTGTATCTGCTCAGCCGAAGGCACCCACTCCAAATACCGCAGCAAGACCCCAGCCGAAACCTGAAAGAGCTCCAACTTCCCTTAATAGCCTTATCGCAGCATTTAGGCCGAGGCTTTCTGCCGGCAACATTAGTAGCTACTCAGCCGCCGCTGTATTAAGTTCGAGTATTGCTAGCACCAATGCAATTACCTTCTCAAACAAAGTTGGCGCAGCTCTCAACGCCTATGGATCCGCTGTTCGTGGTGGTCATTCTCAAGCTTCCCAAGCGAGCGCGCTACAACCACCACCAACTACAATGTCAGCATCTCCAACTTTTCAAACTTACCCTAGAGGGATTTTGAAGAAGAAGCCCACCAGTTATAGCAGGCTAGGTTCTTCCTCTTAGTCGAGTGGATCTTTCGTGAGTAAAAATAAGCAAACTGCGTCCCAAACAAGACCTGGAACAAACCTTGTATCCAGGTCGTTTGTTTGTAAAGACAATACGGTTTAAAATTTTCAACTGAAATTCTCTAAGTTTAGATTCTAATGTTGTGCGAAAAGATAGCGAATAAACACTTTTTCAATCAATATCAATGTTTAATACTTTGCAGCTAACTTTACTTTAGCAGTAAGCGTTGTTTGTTTGTTCTCCAGGAAAAGCCTGTAGATTTGCTTTGAGGAAGCAAGAATTGGAACCAAACTGTTACTTATTAGACTAACAGGTGAATCCGGAAGTGGATCAATCACCGGTGCAGTAGTTGCCCTTTTAATTGTCAAGCGCCAACTGGCAGGCATAAAGTTAATAGACCCATAATGAAGAAACTTTGCTCAGGATTGAGATTTTCTTTAGTTGAAAATAAATCGCAAATTTTTAAAAACCCTAAATCTGCAATATCTCTACGATATACAGATTTCTTATTAATGTAGAGAAGCTTGTTATTCTAAATAACTTCACTTGCAATTTCGCGTAGCAAGCTGGGTGTTTTTGCATTTACTTCTGACCACGCATCGGAACACTGTTTGTAGAAACTTGGTAGATAAATAGTTAATTTAGAAGTATAAAAGTTATATGCAATATGAGCTTCCCACTAACAGGGATAAGAATCTCATTTAAAAAAGCTTTCCATGACATCCTGTAATGTACACGAAACAGGTGCAAGTAGCGGCTCATCAACCATTAGAAGCCCGACAAACACAAATAATCTCGACGAAGCATTTTCCCGTTTGCTTAGAGATTTGTTAGGCAATTTGTTTCATACAACACTGTCTGGATCTTCAGGGAGGTACCATGGTTCGAAAACAGCAGACTACCCGAAAAAGAAAAGTGACTGCATGATCATGTGACGTAAAAGTGCATTCACTAAACCATTCTGGGGTCGAACCCTTTTATCTCCACGTTTTTGTACATTACTGACAAATGTTTACAAAAAAAATCGGTAAAACAATTTCATTGTACCGCCTAGCTCTAAAATCTTTTGCCTGATTTTATTACTGTACGGTCAGGTCTGTTGTATATTGTAAAACAGTCCTGGTTGCTCTATTTACTCGATACAGCACCGCGGTTGGAAGTCAATTACAACTAACCGCCGTCTGCGAATAAACACTGCACCCAATAGCAGGAATGCGGTGTTTATTGGAAGATTAAGGAGAGGAACAGGTACGGCATAACATAGTGATCCTTACTGGCCATACCCAGCTTGTGGACACATAACTTGCAAGAGAATTTCGATTCCATCTCAGCAAGAAAAAGCGAGTCATTACAACTTTGTTGAAAATGATTCGAAGAAATTTGAACCAAGGTGGATTCCGCCACAGAGTTTAACAGCACGAGCGAGAGGCACAGAATTAAATGAAAGGCCTTGGCCAGTCCTAACCATAGCGTTAAATCCATTAAATAAGGTAGAAATGAATTTTTAGCGGGAGATCGTTGTAAATTAACAATGAAAGTTTCCTTCAGGATGAAAAAAAAACTGCAAGAGAATCTTCTATTTCTTCTTCCACTCAGAAAGTGTATAATTTTGCTGAAATTTGTAGACGTTTTGTTGCAAAAATGATGATTTTGTTACACCTTAAAACAAGACCAACTAATTTGGATGGATGCGATATTTGCTCGACAATTGTCGTTTTTTTTTTTGCTGTTATTCGTTTCAATTTTTGAATTTTTTTTAGATCATAACTCAAGCGTGAATGAATAAAATCTTAATCGTTTGAAACAAGCGAAAAATGATTTAGCGCGCGCAGCAGGTTTCCTATTTCTGCTGGTCAAAGGATAAATGTTTGGTATTGGCCTCAGGAAAAGGGGGAAACGATGCTTCGAGATAGGCCTGATTTCTTTATGTCAAACTTGAGTATTAATGAACTCCTTGGATTTCCTATGCGATTTTTAAACGAATTTTGCTTTAAACAGCAAAAATTACCGAAGTGAAATATTGTGCATCTGTTAATTGAAATCACATTCTCACCAGCGCATAATTATATGCTTCGTTTCTCTTGCCATGAACAACAAAACAACTTCCATTTAACGAGGTTCGCCATAAAACGAAGGCCTAAATTTTGTTTCGTGTGTTGGAAACCGTCGAACATTTCTTTCTAAGTTCGCACATCGAGCAAGACATACAGTTTTGATCTTTGATATTGCGTTACTCGTTTTGACGCAAAATGTAAATGATGTAGCACATGCTAGACTGAAAGTTTCAGGACTTCCTTTGAGTGATGTAACAGTCTAAAAAAAACTTAATGATCGAAATGAACAGTTGACGTTTTTCAATTATCCGTCATTAATATTGGTCATTTCAATGTTGCTGAGTAAGACTTCACAGACGGGAAATTGCACGTTCTTTTTATGATGAATTCTATAGACGTGTACAAGTAGTGAAAAACTGTTCGCCTTCTATGCCCCGCTTAGGAAAACTACTGAGAAATTGTGAGAAATTGTAGTACCCAGTTTCTCTTCCGGCAAACTTAATTATCTTTGCGACATGGCAGATGATGACGTTCTGCAAGCTAAACTCCTTAGTTTCATTTGCGGTAACGGCGGTTTTGTCGACTTGACTGTTCTTTTAAAATCATCGTCGCCTCTTGGAAGCAGAAAATCCGAAGAATCAGCTAAGAAATGGTTGGAAAGTCGTCAAGGACCTCGGGCTGGGTTCGCCTGCGTCAAAGATAAAAATGGCGAAATCGTTGGTGTACGAGTTGATTTGGGAAAGAAAATTTGTCACCGATATGCGACAAAAGGGGTCTGTCACTTACGACGATGTAGGCAAGGCACCTGCAAAAACTGGCACATTTGTAAAACCTTCGTGGAAGGGAGATGTAACGAATTTTGTGAGCTTTCACATGATTTTTACAGCGACGATAATTGGGAAATAGTGGAAGCTCTCGACCTTCCTTTTTATATAAATTCAAACGAGTCAATGAAGAAAATTGTGTCCTGGAATTTGCCACAGGTTTGCGCGTTGTATCAAAGAAATGAATGCACATGGAGTGAATGTCCGTATATTCATGTTTGCACCCAGTT